TTTATATACAGAAATGTGTACGAATATATGTAAATATTGACTTTAATAAAGTTTGCTAAGCAAGGTTAAGCTAGTTTTATAAAAAAAAAAAATAATAAAAAAATAAAAAAAAAAAATAATAATAATAAAATAAAACTTATTAATCTATAACATAATAATTAGTACTTCACAAGTAAGATTACAAGATACTAGTTCAACTTTATATAAAAGTAGTTAAATAGTATTAATATAGTATCTGACATTATAACTTGTAATATAGGGCTCCTAACGATACCACTTCAATACTACTTTGATACCAGTTCAATATTTAAATTTACTATAAAAATATATAAGTAGGTTATAACCCATATATTAAATTTACTATAGATTAGTACCATTTTGATACTAGTTCAATATCAGTTCGATACTTTTTTGGAGCCCTATTATAATATACTATTTCTTATAAAAGGCCAGTTTATATATTAATCCAATAGATATTGAAATTGTAATCTCTACAAAAAGTATATTGATATAACAATTATTTGATTGATATTATAATAATTATTGACAAGTAAAAATATAATATATTTGAATGTATAAATTGAACTATACTTTATTTTAATCAATTTTAATTAATAATTTTCTTTTTTGTAATTGGTTTTAATATAATTAAGTAAAAAAGATTCAGGAATATCTTAAGTCAGTTTTATTAATATATCTTGTTCAAATATAAGCTAAATCAATAGGTTAAATGATTTAAAACTAGTATTAAAATTTTCATTTTCTAAATAAATTCCTTTTAAAAAACATAATCCACTTTAAAAATATATACTATATTATCAAGTTTAAAAATAGATAAGATAGTAGATTAACTTAAATAAATCTTATGACAATATAATTGAATATAAATAATTTAATAAAAATTATATACTATATACTTTTCATCAATAATAATAATAATAATAATAATAATAATAATAATTAATTAAATATGATACAAGTAAGAAAGCTAGCATTTAACTTGTTATATGCAATGCACTTAAGAGATATTGTTTTTTTCACGATATATACCTTGATATATACAAATTAAATAAAGAGATGATATTTATCTATTGGGATAATCTCCTCCAAAAAAAAAATAATAATAATAATAAAATAAATAAAAAAAAAATAAATTTATATATTTTATAATATTTGCTTATAGTAATTAATTAATAATATTTTGACAATATATAGAATTCCTAATAGTATTATTTTAAAATTAAAATAATACAAATTTATTATAAGTTTAATATAGTAGATTACAATTTATATATTAAATATAAGTTGATATCTTTTTAATACTATTTTGGTATTGGTTTGAAATCCTAATTTATATCCAATATTTAAATAAATTAAAAATTTTTTTATAATTTCATAATATATTTAAAAGAAAACAAAATAATTTTTTTTAATTTTTGAATTTGAATTAACTGATTTATTTAAATTATTAATTATTATTATATTATAGAAGGTAGCATTAAAAAATTATAAAAATAATATAAAAAAATAGAAATATCGGTATATACAATTGATACAAATAAATTAAATATTATTTGTAATTTTGATAAAATATTAATTAAATATATATTAGTTTTAAATCCACAACTTAAATTACAATATATGGAAAATCATATATACGTAGTAAAAAGAATGGCTCAATAATATAAATATAAATATACTGTAAATATATATAATATTTAAATATATAATTTACAAAGTATTTAATTAAATCATTTATTTTATAGATATTAAAAATTTATTAAAAAAAATATGCATCTAGAGAAACAGAAAATATAACAATAAATTACAATTCAAAGGATGAAGATTTAATATTATATATTTTAAATGAATTAATTTGGTTAATAAGAATTATCTAAGTTCTTATTGAAATTATTTTCAATCAAATCAAAAAGACAGCCTTGTCAATTAAGAAAAATCAAAATAGTACATCATTAACAAACCATATGCTTATATCCGATCATATTGAGTATAATTTTTAACTTTTGAATTAACTGATAAATCTGTTGATAATATAATAGTTATATTACAAGCACATACAGTAAATACTGATTCCCGGTATCATGATTTTTTAATTTTATATATATAAAGTTGAACCAAATTAATTCGACAATATTTGCCATTCGTTGCTGACCACGCATGATTAACAAATTGTAACAAATAATCAATTATCATAAGGTAATAAATGATAAAATAATGCAATCAATATAGATAAACATACCTAATATTGGCCAATAAATTTGAAACTTTCTTTTTTTAAAAAAAATTTTTTTTGACGTCACGATAACATTGGACTTTGAAAAAAAACTGATGCATGGACAATCAAGTCATTTCGGATATTTGCCCACGAAACTTCGACCAAACGTTCGCGATATCGGGAGCCAATGAGATTCCCAAAGTTGGGAGTGAAATCAAAAGTTCAAGACCGGAAGATTCCGTGTCCTCATCCTTCCTAATCACAATAGGAATGTTGTGCCTTGCCGTTGCGTGCACGCGAACTCTATAATGCTGGTATCTTCTCCATTCATCTGATGAACTATTTTTGATCTTGAGAAGTCGTCGTGAGACCAATGGGAAATCAGCTTCCTTAAACCTTCTGACTATATAAGTTTTATTGTTATTGTCATCATGTTTGAAATCCTTATTCAATTCCAAACCTATGAAGAATCGTTTGTCCCATAAAATGATTTCTGAATCTTTGATGATGTTTGTGACTAATTTATCATTCGACTTGCTTATAGGTTGTCGATAAAATGCCCACGATTGCTTTGATCCTTTTTTGAATACACGACGATGATCAGCATGCTTTTTCTTTTTTTCAATGACAGGACAAAGAAGCATCCCTTGAGTCGAATAACTCTTACGATCCGGTTCAGTGTGTGATTGTATCATATGCTGGTAACAACGGGCGATTGGCTCTAATATCGGAGGCTGTTCCGCGCATGTGACCCAACGAACCAACGAAGTAATTACCCTAATTGCAAGATGCTTTTGGCAAAACCAATGATCTCGTGGAAGGGATTCCGGTAAATCGAGCACACAGAATCCTACCTCGCTATTGAATTGAACGCATCTGGATAATATTTCGCGTACTGCATTTTTATGGTGATTATTAGATCAAGGATGATGAAATGATTTATCTGAGTCAACGGCCTGAACCTAACCTTTAAAGTTCACACATCTTTTATGATGCTCCATATGATTCACGAATCTGAGCAATCCTTCGGTGGAGATAGGTTCATATTCTTTCTGTCCACCATGATATCGCTGGTTAATGGTATTTAATGTCATCCTCACAACATTTCTTTTGTGCTGATCCGATTCGTTCGTAGAATCTTCGAACCATTGAACATTCGCTGCCTTACATGTTTCGATTATTCTACTCTGAATCAAAATAGACAAGTGTCTAAGTAAACAGCGTAAAATTACTTAAAATTCTCATGGGGATATAGATAGACACCTTATGAATTTTGAGCATCGGCCTAACAACATTCATGTTCAATGCCCCAATGGTTCTTTGTACTGGGAACTTGCTATTCGTCTCCATAGAAGCTAATCCTACGATACCACTACCTCTAGCTAATCTCATCACCATGGTTTCCAACTGATCATTTAGATGGTGACCTAGAAATAGTAAGGATATTTTTCGTTTGTAACACTCATTGGCTAGCAATTTGTATCTCTCGTTACGAGCGAATAACTCCATTTGGGAAGTTCTTGGGAAGGCGTGGGTTTGAGAGGGCAAAAATTTACTTGCTTCTCGAGTGTTCCATTGTATCTGCAACACCTTGGAATCTACATCTGTACAAGCAAACGAAGAAAGGAATTAAACTAAAGAGATATATATACATAAAGGGTGATGTTAAATTGAAATTTTAAAAAGCAAGACAATTAGTTGAGGAGACGAAGAGGCACGTTTATCTTTACATACCTAATTTCGACAACACTTCCGCGACCTGGGAAGCCTCCCAAGTACTTTCGGGACGGAGTTTATGATCCACTATGAATGCGGTTAATTTGTGTTTATAATCTCTACAATATCGACTCAAAAGGTAACACAGTGCCATGCTATCAACTCCTCCGGATACGGCGACGCCTTTTTTTTTTTCGAGATTGAGAACTTTGTTCAACGATTTATTTTACAAAAGGAATTCATACCGAGCGGTTCCTCTTTCACAAGAGGTATCTTTTTCATCAAACTTGCAAATTCAGCAGTTGATATAGATATCCTTGACATTTCTGGAAAAAAGACGATAATCTGTACAGAAATCCGATGCGGTGCGGTACACATATAATTTTGATCGATCGCGTGGGGTGCATAAATTGTGATGTAACTTTACAGTATACGCATTATTACGTGTCTTATAACATAATGATACGTTTAGCTAAAGATATAGCAACCCATGTTCCTAGTTCATTAAGAAAGAAAAGAGCATATCAATTAATAAGGAGAGAAGTTGTTCATGAACCTCCCGCTGACGTAAGCGCCCGTCATTATGGAGAAAGTCTGATACAAACGCATAAAATTCAAAAATTTCAAATATTCATAGAGTCCAACATTTATTTTAAACGAGGAACAAGAGCATATTTATGATTTAATTGTGAATGAAGGGAAAAGCGTGTTTTACACCGGGGCAGCCGGTAAGATCAATAATAAAACATTATTTTAAGTTTTAAAATCTCCTAACATAGCAAAGTCAACGCGTTTTCAGGCACGGGAAAAAGTAAACTTCTTGGGAGAATAATCGAAGGACTCCAATATAAATATGGAAACGCCCCTGTGGCTGTTACCGCACCAACAGGAATTGCCGCGCTCAACATAGGCGGCACTACTGTGCACAGATTTTCTCAATTTCCCGTCAATGCGCAATATAAAAGTATTGAGGAAATCATATCAGCAATTAAATTTTCCAAACGGCTCTCGACCAGATGGAATAGAATTAGGGCATTGGTTATTGACGAAAGTGAGTTTGCGAGAAGTGGTCGACTTTAGAACGTTGCCGTTGTTCCTCGAGATTTACACGATATTCTCAGTATCTATGCTTGACGCTAGGTTGTTCGAAAGATTGGATGCCGTTGCCAAATACTTCAAAAAGAATCAAGATCCTTTTGGGGGCATACAGGTAAAATAATTTGTCATCAAGTCATTTTATAACGAAGTCACTATCAATCAATGATTTGAATCGTTTGCATCAGATTGTAGTCACCGGAGATTTTTGTCAACTTCCGCCTGTTTCAACCGAAGATAAGGCTCGTTTTTGCTTTGAATCACCTATATGGTCAGATTGCATAAGGCACAATTATCAATTGACCAAAATTTACCGGCAAAAAAATGAAGGTAAATGAAAAATTTTTGGTTCGGACAAATGAACTATTCTTAATTCTTGATCATAATAAGATTTTCAGAATATTTTAAATGAGTTAAGAATTGGACAAGTTTCGGAAAATTCGTTGGAAATAATGAATCAATTGTCGAGGACGCCTGCATACCCAGAGGATGGTGTCAAACCTTCTGAATTGTATGTATTAATCTAGTGATCGCGGTATAAATAAATTTAATCAATATAATTATCGAATTTAATATAGGTACCCAATTATCTCCAAGGTAAATCGCATAAATCGAATAGAATTAGATAGGCTTCCACACAAAAAGTACATTTTTCACGCCGAAGATTTTGAACCAGAAAACATAGGCAAGCTTGATGAACTGGAGAGAAGCAATTTGGCACCAAAAAAATTAGAGCTAAAGCTTAATGCCCAAGTGATGCTCATTACGAACTTATCAGATGACCTTGTGAATGGAAGCAAAGGATATGTATGCGGATATCATTCCATAAAAGATCAAATGAATTATAAGGAAGAATTGGATCAAATGGATGTCGACACCAAGTACATTCTTCCTATTGTGAGATTTGACAACGGCTTAATTAGACCCATTCCGTATCTCTCGTGGACAATAAATTCGACTGACGATAAAACTGGGGAAAGTGTTGAATTAGCGAAACGTGTACAGGTAACCCGTTGAAATCTTAAAATCTTCATAGAAGGATGCTAATGATATTTCTTGATTAGCTCCCCCTAATACTGGCTTGGGCGATAAGTATCCACAAAAGCCAAGGTCAATCATTGGAACGGGTCAAAGTCGATCTTGATCGAATATTTGAAAGAGGTTAACTTAATGACATGAATTCGATTATGATGTTCATTTAAAGTTTTTGTGATGACTTTCCATTGACACTCTGATCAGGGCAAGCGTATGTGGCACTTTCCCGGGCGAGGACTATGGATTATCTTCAAGTATTAAACTTTTCTCGTGATAAAGTAATGGCCGATGAAAAGGTGCTAAATTTTTATAGGACTTTGGAGACTGCCAAGACAACCAATATCAAAGGAACAACTGCATGTTAGAGCTTTGATATATTCTCTGAGGAAAAAAAAAAGGTAACGGCGCCACGATGTTGTATCAAGATAATAACTATCTATATACCCAGTATTTGGTTTATACGGTCAAAACAAGCTGGAAAAATTCTCTGTGACAACCAAGTTATATACGTCCGTTGGTTTATGAAATGAAATTTGGTAAAGGATGTTATTAGACTGAAAAAATTGGTTTGACGTAAAGGTAATCAGTGTCAAGTGACATTTAAAAGTATATTTTTAGTTGAACAAAAAATCAGTATCAAATGCAATTGTATTTATTTCGATATTTTCACATATAGCTCATAAATATTTGAGTACATTGTTATAAATGAATGGTGTAAAAATAGATGAAATTATTTTAAACCATTAATAAAAAGTTTCTCTACTGCCCATTCGTCAATCGAAACTATCTATGATGTATCTGCCTAATCATCTACTTGACTCCATAGCTTTAAAACTTTGTCACAAATTTCATCATCTACCTCCAAAGTTCTCAAGTTCTCACAGAGTTGCGCGAATTTGGTTTTGTCCGTCTTCACATAGGCGGCGACCTTGACTTTGTCAACTTCGCGAATGAAGTCATGTTCACCCAGAACAACCACCGCCAACAATCGAACTCCTCTTCTAATAACGGGTTTAATGAAGTCCTTGAAAAATTCTTGTTCGACATTCTTTGCCTCGTTCATTGCCGAATCAAAAATTTTCCTCCTGTTCTTGTATATGTACCTTGAGAATAACGATTTTAATTCACACCATTTCATATGTGAATCCATTTCTACAGTATTTAGCCCGCAATAAATTAATTAATAACCAAACAGAAGATACAACATATGAATGAATGATGAGATTTCAATTACCTGTATATGCTGGATCCATTGCTTTCTGGATACCACATTCCATTTTGAAACGAAATAAATTGCCCTTATTTAAAATTTTATCAAGTATTTCTCTACTCGATTCCTTCTTGAAATATACATCCGCTGCACTTTGGATGTTTTTGAAGAATTGATGTTTTTCAGGAAATGAGTTTTCAAATTTATCCTTTATCTGATCATGGAATGTGTCCAAAAGGATTCTATACTGTGCATTAAAGTACTTGATAAGCTCCATTTGAAATAAAACAAAGCTTTCAAACCAACGGTCGGTAATTGCGCCGAATAAGGGAAGAAGCAGACACTGTAGAAAGTGAAATAAAGAGGTAAATTAGAACCAGCCAGATTTAATCAGAAATGAGAGTTATTGTCTGATACTCACTTCATTAAAATTTATTGACTCATATACACCTTTCCTTCTAAAAGCAGCCCTCCATTTCATGTGATGGATCTGTAGTTCAGATGTAAAAAAAAAAAATTGAGATCCTAATAATAATAATAATAATAATAATAACAATAATAATATACTGTAATCTTTTTTGAATCAAATAACCTCATCATAATTCGAAATTGACTTTTGACAATCTTCTTCCGCCTTTTTCCTTCCCGCTTCCAACTTTGGCCAAAGTATCATATCAAACTCGGTTCTCCATTTCTTTGTGACCTCCTCAACAAGATTTGAATAGCTTTTCGACAGATCTTTGCATTTATTCTTATAGTATTGTCGAAGACTGTGATCCTCTGTAAACATTGTTGATGAAAGATCAGATGGCTTGTTCTTTAGCAGACGATCTTTTCTATCTTCCATCATCCTTATTTCGTTAGGCTTTTCAATCCCAGAGTAATTTTTTCGTTTGAGATTTTCGGTTTGCGCAATAGTTTTAAGGCGGAAGATCAACTCATTATAATCGCGAAGCGTAGAGTTGCTATGATTCATTCGAACGTTAGAGACTTTCTTAAAATGGACGGCAGGAACATGATTATTGTTGCCTCGCATATTGGAGTATTTTTTGGATAGGATGGCGGAATCATTGTCACCTTGAACACTAGGGACTTTCTTGAACCGGAAGATAGACTTACGATCATTATCATCCTGAATACTCGACATTTTATTGGTCCGAAAAGAAGAAGAAGAATTATTATATCCAACATTAGAAAATTCCTTGGATTGGAAGGTATGCCCATGATTATTAGCCACTTTTTCACATCGGGTAGTGCGATTATTATTACTGTCAATTTTGACACCGTACACTGCTTTATTCTGAAAAGTTAAATTATTACTACCGTCCTGAATAACAGAATCTCTTTTAGATCGAAAGATAGAATCGTGATATTTGTCGCTCTGAACACTCGAGATTTCTTTGAGTCTAAATGTAACATCGTGATTACCGCCTTTGATACTAAAATTTTCTTTTTGTTGGCGATTACTTTCTTGAACACTGTTGATTGGCCTTGCGTTATTTTCAGTTTTAGAGGGATTTTGAGATTGGAAAGTGAAAACACTGTTTTTACTTTCGTCCCAAGTAACACGAATTATTTTAGGTCGGGAGATGGAGTCGTTATTTCCGCCGTCTTGAATATTAGAGATGCAATCTTTACTGTCTTCTTGAGTATTGGTATCGTTCAGTATAGTGACTTTTTTAGGTCGAAATGTTTGGTGATTACTTGGAATATTGAGGGGATTACCAAAACTGAAGAGTTTGGTTTTCTTTTCATCAAGATTTTGCTGAAAAGTTGATTTAACACCCAACAATTCAGTCGGAATCTCTTTGGGCGGTAGACTACTTAGGTCGTTGCCTTTATCTATTTTCTTTTCAACCTTGTGATTTTGTGACAGCTGCAAAGTAATTCGCGACAATAAACCCTGGAGACTCAAAATTTGGGCGCGACTGACTCGTTGTATTCGTATCAAATCTCTTTCGAAAGACTCCAATGTCGAAGACGTTGAAGTAATGCTATTACTTGAAATCATGTCAGGTGGTGACAATGTAATAACCACTTTTTCGCCATGGTCATTGTTCTTCTCATCGGAATCCTTATCAAAAGGCACAACGAATTTCTGTGGGTGAGAGAGAAGCGCCTTGATATTATCGTGGATTTGTTGATTGTCGAGTTTATGGTCATGTTTTCGAAATTCTATGATTTCTTCATCTAGTAAAAGAAAGACTCCACGCAAAATTCTGTAACAGATCCAGAATTTAATACATGACAAATTAATTCTGGACTTCGTGTAGAGATAAACTCTGACCACGAAGTTTATCCATATTAATTCGATCATAGGTCTCATCGTGAAAATATTAGTTTCGTGGACTTTGAAATATATAATCAAGCAACTTTTTGTTGTTTTGACATTGAGAGAAATTTTTTGCATTATATATATAAATTCTCTCTTTGACCAGCAACAAATAAGAACCAAATCCAGAGCTCGTATTATATCGGACATAATGAAATAAATTTTTAGGAAGAATCTTCTGTTTCTGAATTAAATTCAGAAAATTCATGCACATACGTAATTGTTTCAAATTTAAACAATAATGCAGTTTTTAGTGATGTCTAAACAAAAAAAAGGGAACCAGATATGTATTGTTACTGTAACTATTCTCACGATAGTATCATCTCTTTCGAAAAAGGTATTTAGTTATATGAAAGAAATTCACGGAAGATTGGTAAATATACTTTCATAATTTTTTGTGCTCGCAAAGATAATATTGAACAATTAGCTATTACGCATAGATGGTTCTGTCATCAATTTGAATTTTTAGTAAACGAAATGTACAGAACGACGATTATTAAAAGCATTCGTTCCAATTGAAATTAGAAAAAACTTGATTAGTTCAATTAGGAAATTACTCGAGTCAATTCAAAATTAAATATTTTCTTTCGCCCGTTTTGTTGCTAGGTGCATAACTGAGTAGTATCTACATTTGTAATAGGCAATGAAAAGGTGTATAGAAAGAACGCATTCGATAGCAACTAGCAACGCGTCAGGGTCGCGGATAGTCGGTCACATAATATTTGCATATGAAACATGATTATGTAACTAACAATTTTTGCAGATATCTTACGCATACGCAACTTGCATTACAAAATAATTTTATACATTTACTTTATTTGGTTATTTTAATTTTAATTTTTATATTTGATCCGAATTATTTACAGTATATCAAGAACTACACTATCTGATAAAACATTAAACGTCTCTAGTCATTATTCAGTTTAAATAAACTTGAATTGAATACTGTAAAAGTTTAAAGCTTTAAGTAAGCCAACAGAAATACTGTGTAATTCAAATCATAAAGAACATATATAAAAATATTAAACTGCTTATTATAAGCACCACTTTTTTAGCATAGTTTTGACGCTAAAATCTATATGGTGCTTGTATTGGAAGTTTTATATAATGATTGATTTTTTAAATAAAAATTGCATTTAAAGCATTAAATTATTAAATTAAAGTTTTATGGCAATATACAGTTAAACTCGCTAATTTAAATATCTTATTAAATAAATTGTTTATTGAATACGCTTCTAAACCTATGTAAATTAACTTGAAGATTTTTTTAACCAACTAAATTACGATAACCCAAATTTTTTTTTACTACAATGATTCATAATACTTCGTTTGAATATGTTTATGTATAGCTTTACATTATTGAAGAATCTTCAATTATCGCCACATCCGTCGGCTAGCTTTGGTGATCTCTATCCCTGCTATCCTATAACAATTTTTCAATTGATGCAACATGAACTACTTGATCTGGAGTTTCTCTAGCTTTAACATCAATGGAAAATTCCTCAGTCTGAGCCAGGTATACTACATGATCATCATTATCATTTGAACTATCAGAATCACTTCTCTTTAATTCATCATAATTACTCTAACTAATGTCTTTATTTTCTGTTACAGGTCAATTCCTTAATTATTACATTTCGTCAGTTATTATTTCTACATAGGAAATTCTTAATGATTTTATTATCTTTAAGTTTCAATCACTCTTCTAATTTTAATGAATACTTTTTCTGTTCTTCTGTTCTAATAATTAATACTCGAGATTAGTATAATAATTTTTTTTGTAACTAAACAATCTCTCACAAATTAACCCTTTCTATATATCTATAGGTAAGTCCATGGTCTAGGCCTAACATAACTATTCTTGACTTGATCTTAAAAGAAGTATACTTATTAATTGTTCATTTTTCTATTTTCTTAGTGCTGCTCTCTTCTTCCTTACATTCTAATAATTAATACCCAAGTTTAATATAACAATTTTCTCTCTATACACCTATAGATAAGTTCATGATCTAAACCTAACATACCTATTTTCGACTCAATCTCAAAAGCAGTAAGCTAATCTATTGTAATACTCTTCTCTGTCTTATAATTCTTCATAATTCTATTCTTTTTGCATGTTTGATGACTTCTTCAATTTCTTGAATAAATTGAAAGGTCAACTTTCTTTCAATCCTTTAACATAAAATCACACAATAAGCTCTTACTTTCTTGTCCTATAATGTAGAACTTTATTTGATATAGGAATCTCGATTACCTCATCATAATGCCCTGTCATTATCAATTACAGGAGAATACAAATCATTTGCGACATTAACATTATTGAACATCTCCTCAGTTTGTATTATATATTCAGATTAATCTATCTATCTTTGTCTTTTTCATTTTTTTCATTAATACTGTATAAGCGATCTAATCCTGATGATCTTTAGCATTATTATTACTGGATATTTCCTCAGTTTGCATTAGGTATGTTTCAGGATCTAACTCAGCTTGCTGGTTTATAATAATATATCCTTACTAAATCATTAATTACCATTCTTAACACTAGTATTACAAATCAATTTCTTTACTATAAACAATTCATTCATTTGGGTGGAACAGGCAATAGCACTATTTTTATCTCTTTTAAATATTTTTTCACTTTGCAAACCTTTGATAATACTCTTTTATTTTACTAGGAAAAATATTCCTCATCAGAATTATTTATTGCCCTCACTGTCCTGTTATTATAGTAATTATTTAAAATATTTATTAAGATTTTTGATTTTTTTCCAATTTTCTTTACTATAATTGCATATGTGTTGATTGCTTATTCCTTGCCTACTCTGTTATTGAATTTAATATTAAAATATAGGTTATTGAATTTTTTTTAAAAATCTTCTGGATCCTAAAACAAATGTACTTATCATTACATAATTTAAAGTTTTCATTTATATTTAGTAATATAGTCATACCTTCCTTCCAATCCTCTATGTACTTGTATAGCTTGTATAGAAATAAATATTCGATACTTGAATATATAATTAAGTATCTTTCTTGATCTTAACCAGTATGTTTAATAGCATCTCTTATTTCATGCTGAATTTGTTTCATTCTCATTATTTTATTATTATTTTATAGATGCTATATCTTTACTAATTATCATTTATAGTAGTCTTACTATATAAGTATAATAACAATAATAAATAGAAAAATTAATTAATAAATGTAATCACGAAACAATATATCAAAAAATAAATTAACATATCAACTAGGGTTTCGAAAAAATACCAAACTGGTATTGAACTGGTATCAAAATGATACTGATCTATAGTAAATTTAATATATGGGTTATAACTTACTCATATGTTTTTATAGTAAATTTAAGTATCGAACTGGTATCGAAGTACTATTGAAGTGGTATCGTTAGGAGCCCTAATACCAACCAATAATCATCTGTTTAGAATTTTCATATTGATATTTGCATACATAACATGTGCATTTAAAATTTATAAAGTCACAATTTAACAATAAAAATATATATATATAAAACAAAAGCAAAAATTTAAATAGTTTCATACAAATGTCAAAACTAAATACATATCATACTCTATTGTCAAAAAGCTTAAAGTTTTGCAATATGCAGAACAGAATAGTTTTAGAATAGCCGAATGCCACTTTGATATTGATCATTCAATGATTTCTTGTTGGCATAAAAATAAAGAAAAAGTTGACGAATTGGTGAAAACTTAGGAAGAAATATACAATATCCTGAGAACAAAACTGACTTGAATGTATGGATCCTTGAATATCAATAAGACGGAATTGCTGTAACTACTAAAGTTTCTAAAACTTATATAAAAAAACTTTTAAAAAAAATTTTGCTGATATTTACCTAGGTGCTGATGAAAAATTTTTTGCTTCAGATCATTGGTTCTACAGTTTTTTAAAAAGGCATAATCATTTTTTGCAATATAAAACAAAAGTTGGTCAAAATATTTCTGTACATTTTGATGATAAACTTTTGGAATTTTAATGATTCATTATTAGAAAACAAAGACAATTTGAATATAATTTTTTTGAAATAGGAAATATGGATAAAACACCTATTTATTTTGATATGGTTGAAAATTTAACTATTGATAAGCTTGATGCAAAAACTGTTCAAATTCAAACAACCAGAAATGAAAATAATTGATTTACATGTGTTCTTACAGTACTTGCAAATAATACAAAATTATTATTCATGATTATTTTTAAGGGTAAATTGATGTCAAAAGATTTATCATCGAAACTTATTGTATCTATATATCCAAAAGAATGGATGGATGAAGCTGGAATGAAAATTTTGTTTAATAAAGTATGGGAAAAACAACTTGAAAGAAATCAAATTACAAAACTACAAAGTCTTTTAGTTTTAGATAGTTTTGAAAGTCATAAAACTGATTTTATTAAAAATATTGCAAAATATGAAAATACTGATTTAACAATTATTCCAGGAGGTCTTACTTCTATTGTTCAATCATTAAATATTAGTATTAATAAGCCATTTAAGGATAAACTTCGTGAAAAATGGAATATTTGGATGAGTTCAAGTAAATTTACTTATACTAAAGGTGGAAATATAAAAAAACCTGCATATAATATTGTTTGCAAGTGGATTCTTGAAGCTTGGAATGAAATTCCAACAGAAATAACAATAAAATTATTTAAAAAATATAATATTAATAATGCAATAGATAGATCTGAAGATGATTTATTTGGACAAGACTTTGAAAATATTAAAGAAAATAATAATGAAGAATATAAGATATTAGATAAAAATAATGAATTTGCTGATAAATTAGATAAATTGGAAGATGATTCTGAAGATAAAAAATAAAATAAATTTATAGTATTATTATTTTTTATTTATTTTATAAGTATATATAATTTTTAATTAAAATAAATAATAAAATTTTTATTTTATTTTAAGTGGTGCTTATATTTGTTTTTATACTTTTTTTTATAAAATCAAGGTGATGCTTATATTTTGGTGATACTTATAATAAGCAGTTTATGGTATTTAAATTTTAACTTTATTTTATTATAACAGATAAAGTTAAAAACAAGTGTTATATGCTTCGTGATATTGAAAAAAAAAAACTTTGTCAAATAAAAAAAAACATTCCTTCTATTAAACTTTCTGAATTAGCAAAACAATTTGAATATAGTGAATCAATGGTTAGTGAAATCCTATCAAATAGTAATTTTTGATTAAATATTAATGAAAATTCCATATTAGTATATTTAAAAGAAGATGTCAAAACAGTTTTTCTAATATAGAAGAAACATTAGGTCTTTGAATAGAAAATTTCATAAGTGATAATATGATTTTAACAGATTTGATTTTGAAAGAAAAGGCTCAAAAATTTGCAATTTTATTTAATAATTATAAATTTAATGCAACTAATGGATGGCTAGAAGGATTCAAAAAAAGAAATAATCTTAAGTCTTATAGAAAGCAAGGAGAAGCTAATAGTATTTATCTAGATAAACTACCTGAACAGCATGCAGATTTAAAATCAATTTTAGAGAATTATAATAAATGCGATATTTTCAATTGTGATGAGACAGTTCTATTTTGAAAAATGAAGCCTTATAAAACACTTGCGAATATATCAGTCTTAAGAAAAAAACTATCAAAGAATCATATATCTATACTTTTAATATGTAATGTAACAGAAGATGAAAAATTATCTTTATTATTTATAAATAATTTAAATAATCCACAAGTATTATGCAGAATCGATAAACATACTCTTGATATGTGGTATTATTATAATAAGTCTGCTTGGATGCAACATTCTATATTTGAGAATTATCTAAAAAAAATTAATAATATGTTAGACTTAAAAACCATAAAATTATTTTACTTGCTGATAACATATCAAGTCATAAGGTGAAGAATCTTGAACTTTCCAATATAAAGGTTCATTTTTACCTTTGAATACTTTGACTTATATTCAATCTCTTGATTAGGGCTCCTAATGATACCACTTTGATACCAGTTCGATACTGAAATTTACTATAAAAACATATGAGTAGGTCACAATCCATATATTAAATTTACTATAGATCAGTTTAATTTCGATATCAGTTCGATACTTTTCAGAGCCCTACTCTTGATTAAGGAATTATTTACAGTTTAAAGGTTTTAAATATTTTTTTTTTTAATATTATTCTTCATTTTTTATTAAATTATTTATTATTATTATTATTATTATTATATAAGCTCAATATCAATAATTATTGTATTAATCTTTATAATAAGTAATTAATTGATTTAACAAGGTTACTATTCTTGATACAATTAACTTCATAGTTAAAGCATAGAATTGTATACAAATACAAATAATCATATTATCCTGGTCACGTGCTAATATTCTATTAGTTTCTACACTTTTAATAAAATTGAAAAAATTAAAAGTGAAATAGCAGATCTTATTCAACATTTGTCAATAGATAATCCAATAAATATAGAAGAATATATGGATATCGACAAAAATAATATTTATTCCTCTATTGATAAAAATATTTTATTTTAAGAAATTGTAAATACTGTTAATTGTAGTGAAACATTAAAAGAAAAAAAAGAAGAATCTTTTGAAGAACAAATTGTAACAAGCTCAGAGGCATTATTAGAATGTAATAATATGCTTACCTACATTGTGCAAAAGACTTTAAATGTTGGTTATTCTGTTATAAAAGTTCTTTCTAATTTGAAAAAAAAAATAGTTCAAACTAATATAGAATTAACATGACAAACTACTCTCAAAGAATATTTAAAATAGTATACTAAACATTCAATTGTAATTTTTTTCATACAATAAGTTTCTGTTTGAACAAGTATTTCAATAAAATTGATATTACTTTTATTTAAAATTTATAGTAATAAGTATTATCTTGAAAAAATTAAAGTGCTTAAAATAAATTAATGCCTAAATACATTATTAGTATAGAATAATAAACTATGACATATAATTTTATTTTTATTAATTAAAAACAAAAATTAGAGGATTGAAGACAATCAGATACCATTATAATATTAATCATGAATTATGTTAATTTTTTAGTGACTTGTTTGATACCTTATGAAAAACTAAAGTGTTTGGATTTAGAGAGAGTATTATTATAAGATTGAAACTTAAGGAATTAACAGAAGAATATTACAGTACCAGGAGTAAAGTCTACAGTTTAATTTGATTTACCAGGTTCTGATTGATAGGTTGAGTTCTTTATTAATTTTATAGGTAATAATATATAATCATTTTAGTTAATATAGTGATTTTTTGATTTTATTAATGAACAATATCTTAACTTGCTAAATAGTTAATCCTTTTTTAACTGATAGAAGTTTGATGCAATAACAGTTTTGTCAAAATATTAAAATTAAAGTTAAATTTGTATAAACTTATAGGTTTGTAATACACTTAGATGTTTTGAACTGTGCACTACACTATTCTGCTCTCATTCTTACTCTTTCACATCTTACATCAATTGAGATCGACACCTTTTTTGTTTAATATAGATATGTATTAAGATTTTGTATAATCGATATTTGTTATCAAGATCTCTGGTTCCGATTCTTTTATTACATCCTGATTTGTTGTTTTTATTAGTAGGCCTTGAGTTCAGCTTAGCTTGAACTTCGTTGGTTCTTTTATTGTCTTTTGTTATTTTACCATTTGTATCTTGCCTTCCATTATCAAAGTCAAAGGATAGCGTCTGTATGTTTTCAATGTTTAAAAGTATGTCATTGTTTTTGTCCTTCTCCAGATTCTATTTTGCGAATTTTGGTCTTGATCATTATTAGCTCTACATTATCTTCACCTTTTGTTTTCCTTAGGTTTGCCTTATAATGAATCATTTGCTTCTGCTTTAAATCTCTCTTGCCTTTGCCCTTCGTCCTACTTTCTTCTATGGTTTCAAAATACTAGATCTTTTTGATTTGTTGAATTAATTTTTGGATCTTGTTCACTAATCTTTATGTCTTTTTTGGTTTCCCTTGTTTCTTATTTCCTTTAATCACCTTAAACCTTTTATTCTCTTTGATCTGACTAACTTTCTTTATTGCTTAATTTAATATAACGTCTTTTCTTTTAATGAGTATTGTTGCAGTTCTCTTTGTCAACTCTTCTACAAATGCTTTTACCTTATTCCTTTCAGGCTCGCTGTTATGGAATCAATTTTTCTTATTAGATTCTGAAATCTACAAGCATACGTTGCCACCTTCTTATTCTTTTCTTGTTTTAGTCTCTCCAACTCTGATTGCCATTATTGTTTTTGTTTGGATATCACAAAAAATCAGAGAAAACTTGACACAAAGTTTTTCTTATGTTTGCTCCTATTGTTTCAATAGCTGAAACAATTCAATTGATTTTATACTAGTCCATAATATATATCTTCAGGTAATTAGATACTCGTCTTAATTTTTCGTCATTCAAATCCTCTCGTATAACTCTAATTACAAATACAGATCTTCTCTCTTTTTTTTTTTTTTTTTGAGTTATCCCAGTAGGTAAACATCATTTCTTTATTTGATATTGTATATTACAAGGTATACATCGTGAAAGAAACAACAT